CGTTTAAGGTGGGGGTGCTTACTTATAAATAGTAGACAACAACCATTCAGCTGCAAACACACACACAGTGGTTATACTTAGGTGTGTGGGTTCACTGGTGTTCTAGGTAGGTCTCGATGGCAACCATCGGTGTTGTTGACTAGAAGAACTAAAGGACAGGTGAGCGCGAAGGTGATTTGTTCAGGTGTTCACCCTGCTCCAAAGGTCGAGCTCAGAGGTGAGAGTAATGTAGGTCGAGGTGAGCTGATTAATGTGTTTAGTGTGTGAGAGAGAGGCGAAAGGTGACAGAGCGCGCTGGCTCAACTTTTAGTGTTGGTAGCTGTTTTATTTGCGAACATTTGCAGAACACCAGAACACTGTCAATTCAGGTTTTTGTTTGAGCAGGTGCGAGCGGTCGCATGCAGCAGTGCCCCACCAGTGCCCGCTGTTTGAATTATAATTAGTTTTCCCTTAACCTTGCCACCTCGGTGTGGTGGTCTTTTTACCGCTAATTGCCGGTCACCAGTTTGGGTGAGATTTGCCTTTTATTATTTATCATCTGTGTTCTTGTTGTTGTTGTCAGTTGTGTTTATCATCGCGGTGGTATGCGCTCAAAGTGTTGCCGCCGCACTGAGCGCGCGAGCACACCGCATGACAGCAGTAGTACGCTCTCTGACTAACTGTCTGTTTTCCTCTTTGTCTCTGCCCGTCTTCCCGACTCCTCTTTCTCTCACCTGAGTCTAATTAATGAATTATTTATTGATTTCTCTTTTGGTACACTTTTCGTCACACTAACCACCACCACTACCCCAACAGAAAAGCCTACCGTACCTTCGGTATTCGCTGCTGAAAGAGGAACTAACTATCGACGGTGTGCGGGCGCCCCACTCCAACACGGTCACAATCACCAGCGGCGGCATGGCCATCGGCAATGGCACGGCTCAGGCGGCCGCTCAGGCTCAACAGGCCGCCCAGGTGGCCGCAGCGCAGATGGGCGGACCGCACGGGCTGACACAACTGCAGGTGAGTGCTCTCTACCAAAACATGTTTTGCGTTTGTTTTGACTGACTCTTCTTTCTCACTGAATGAATGCTCACTGCAGCATCTCTCCCGAGGTCCTCAGCAGATGGTTCGACTGATTACTCCACAGCAGGGGCAGACGCTGGCCGGCATGGGCGGCCATCCGCTCGGTCACGGTCCCCAGCAGATCATCACCAGTCTGGCGCATGGCGGCAACCTCGCCGGAACGCCCATTATGCTCACCTCGGCCATGGGCGGCGGCGGACCGGCACAACTGCTCACCACGGTCACAACTGCACAGCAGCACCAGCTTCATCAGCAGCAGCAACAACAACAGCACCAACATCTGGCGACGAGCTTAGGCGTGGGACCGCCAACACAGCAGCCTGGAGGTATTCTCTCGGCGGCGACGACCCTACCTCAGACGCGGATGCCAGTGCCGACGATGATGCAGGTCGGCCATCCGGTTCACCAGATGGGCGCGCCGCTCAATGCATTACCCATTAACCAGTGTCAGCTGCACCCGGGCGCGCCGACGATACCACCGCCTGCCCGAGCGACGACGCCCTCCAAACCGAAGGCGCCCTCCAAGTCAAAGGCGGCCAAGGAGAAGGCAGAGGCGAAGAAAGCGGCGGCCGCGGCAAATGCTGCCGCCCTCGCTGCCGCCAGCGCCGCCTCTTCTGGCGGAGCTGGAGTCCCGGGCGTCTTTCCGGGTCCAGTGGGAGCGGGGCCAGCGGTGCCCGGTGAGAAGGGCGGTGCGGCGAAGGCCAGCTTCAGGGACGACGACGACATCAACGACGTGGCGGCGATGGGCGGCGTCAATCTGCAGGAGGAGTCGCAGCGCATTCTGGGCACCGGGGCGGAGATTATCGGCCAGCAGATTCGCAGCTGCAAGGATGAGCCCTTTCTCCACGGGACGCCGCTGCACAGTCGCATCAGTGGAATTGGTCAGTGTGCATGACGGGGATTAGCCAGTGAGTGTGTTAACCGACATTCCTTCTCTTTGCAGTGAGAAAACACGAGCTTACCGACTGCTCTGCCGATGTGATAGCCCTCGTGTCACACGCCGTCCAGGAGCGCCTGAAGACGCTAGTCGAAAAGTTGGGCTGCATTGCCGAGCACAGACAGGAGCAGTTTAAGGTAGGTGGTAGCTCCTTTTGGTGGAAAAATATCAGTAGGAGGACTAATATCTCCTTTTTTTCAGAACAACCCCAACTACGTAGTCTACCAGGATGTGAAGGCGCAGGTGCAGTTTCTTCAAGAGCTGGATCGCATTGAGAAGAAGCGCCACGAGGAGCAGGAGAGAGAGGTGCTCATCAAGGCGGCAAAGGTTGGTGGCAGTGGTGGACAAAGCATGTTTTGGGGTGGCTGTACTGACATATCCCTTTTCTTCTCGTTTGCAGAGTCGCTCAAAGATGGACGACCCCGATCACATTGCGATCAAGGCGAGAGCGAAGGAGATGCAGCGCCAGGAGATGGAGGAGATTAGACAGCGGGAGGCGAATGAGACGGCACTGCAGGCCATTGGCTTCCCCAAGAAACGACAAAAGACTGGGCCGGCGACAAGTGGTGGTGGTACCAACAGTAGCGGTGGTCCTTCCAGTGTCGGTGGAGGAGGATCAGGCGGAGGCACTGATGGACCTTTTGGGACAGGAGGCGGCGGCGGCGGCTCTTTGAACAACCTCAGTGGGGGCAGCAACAGCAACGGCCTGGGCCTGGGCAGCTCCAGCTCCTCAGGTCTGACAAATCACAGCGGAGGAGGTGGTGGAGGTCTTGGCGGCAGCGGAGGAGGCAATGGCGCAGGAAGTGGTTCATCCACCAAACCAGTAAGTGTTCATGTGGTGTTAGCCAATTTACTTGCAATGCTAATTCAACCCACTTCCTCCCTTTCTTCCCATACTGTAGGCAATCAAACGTATCAAGAGGGTGACAATGAAGGACGTCTACTTTATGATGGAGCACGAGCACGACATTGTCCGCTCGCACAGTCTCTACCGGACCTATGCTCGGTAGAGAGGAGAGGGAAACTTCTTCCACTCTCAACTCTTAACTCACAAAACCCGAACACAAAAGCCATAAACATTTTGTACACACACATGTAAACACACAAACACACACTTACTTTTTTGTTTCTCCAATTACAAAGTCACTATATATTTTCTACTCAATTTCCACCTCCTCTCCTTTTCCCCTCATTTTCTCATTGTGAAACCACCCAGTGCAAGCTTTGCAGGACACCTCTTTAATAAGATTTCGCCTCATTGTTGTTAGATTCACTTTTTTGACTGTTTACCACTGTTTCCGTTCCTTAAACACACAACAAACTTCACTTTTATATCCCCATCATCTTTTTCTATCGTCAACCTCAACCTCTTTTATATTCATTCATTCTGTACAGATTCACAAGCTCTCTTTGTAAATAAGCGGATCCACCACTTTACAAATAAACCTGTACATAAACTAAACCTACCTCTCACCTGCAAATACAAACAAATGCATGCTTGCTGACCAATCAATCGACAGAGTCAGGATCAAAAGTTGGCCTCTGTTGTCATGTGTCGAGCAACTTTGAACTTCAAACCAGACAGACTAAAATCGCTCGCGCCCTAGTCATCTTTTGTTTTTTTTCTCTGGTAGCTCTCTGTCACGTTCTCTGCGCGCGGCGCACCAGTCGGCCACATTGGTCAGGCGTGAAAGAAGGCGGGCGCAATTGAGTTGCACGCAGCAGTGGAGGCGAANGCGGCGCACCAGTCGGCCACATTGGTCAGGCGTGAAAGAAGGCGGGCGCAGTTGAGCTGCACGCAGCAGTGGAGGCGATCAACTGGGAGAGGTGCGCAGTGCCCGCCTCTACAGCAGAACGGTGGAAACAAAGAGAAAGGGAGAGAGAAACGAGTGCGTGAACTTGGATCTTTCCACTCCGCTCGGGATCATTCGGCGACAGCAGATTCAGCTCAGCAGAACAGAGTCCCTTTGTCAGTGCACAGATCGGTTTTGATTTGACCGGTGAGCGTCCTCGGGATCCAGGACCTAGTTGTCAGAACCGTTTTCACCATTCTCTTCGGCGACTGAATCAGCCGAGTCAGGCGCCCGCTCAACACACACACTTGCCCAAATCAGCGGCACACGCATGCGTCCGGTTGAGTCGTACCAGGAGAAGAAAAGCTCAGTCGCTCACTTTCTCGCGTCCATCGCTGCCGCCACCGACGCCGTCATCGTAGTCGCCTCGGTCCTTACCAGCAGCACCGCCGCCGCCATCGCCGCCACCACAAGCGAAGATAACCTCAACGTGTTTGCTTCTGCAGCAGCAACCGCAGACACACTATCAGTTGGACACTTCATCGCAGTTGACCGGTGAGCCGTTTGGAAGCCATTGTCGCCCAGTCATTTTCACTGTCATCTGACGCAGTCCGCGCCACCTCTCTCTCCTCGGTTGTGCAGTTGTCAGCAGCGCCCGAGCAAATCGTTATAAGGCACCGTACTCGCTGTCAGCCCCTCTACCAGTCGCGTTTTTGTTGAGTGCCGTGTATTTCGCTCCGAAGTTGACACCCAGCGTCCTTTGACGACGTTTTGATCACCATCTCTCGCAATCTCTGCTGTCTCTCGTTCCGACTCCCTTCTTTACATACAATGGCTGCCTCCACCGCTAACAACACCACTCCCTTCTACGGGTGCAAGATCTCGCTGATCTCCAAGTCGGAAATTCGCTACGAGGGCATCCTCTACACGATCGACCCGAAGGAGTCCACCATTGCCCTCGCTAAAGGTCAGTACACTCTGCTCTAGTGGTATTGTCTCAAATGTTGGGCTTTACTAACTATCGTCTTATTTTTCTCCTGTCTATTAGTTCGCTCGTTTGGTTCCGAAGATCGTCCCGTTGAGCGGCCAGTCCCACCACGTGATGACATCTTTGAGTTTATCATCTTTCGCGCAAGCGATATCAAGGACTTGATTGTAGACGATCCTCCACCGGCACCCCAATCTACTCTCTCTGACCCTGCTATCATCCAAGCGGTACGTTGTCGCCTTTCAATGGCAGTGCAGCAATTTGGCTAATCATTCCGTTCATCTTTCTTTGTGTTTATAGCAACACTCTGCTACGTCAACATCTTTCCCTGCGGCTTTTCCCGCATCGAGTGCCAGCGGCTCGGGGGCCGCCACCACCTCTGCTGCTCAGCAGCCCCAGCAGCAGCCATCGAAGGCTCCGGGCCAAGGTGGCAAGCAGCAGTCTGGTGAGAGGCACTCCCAGGCTGACGGCTCGAAGGGCCCCTCGAAGCAGACATCCTCCAGCTCGGTCACCTCTGGTCAGGCATTCGCCAAGGTGGCCGCTGGTCTCAGCGCTGCCGGCTCCTCCACTCAGCCGCAGTCGCAGCAGCAGCCGCAGAACAAGCAGCCTGGTCAGCGCCAGCCGAGCCTTTCCTTCTCCAGCAAACTGCAGCAGGGGACGAAGAACGACGGACAGCCTGCCACCGGTGGTGAGCGCAACCAACGCCCCAACAACCAGCAGCAGCAGCTGGGCCAGCACCAGCTGACTGTGGGCGGCCCAAGGGGAGAGCCCGGTCAGAATGGCTTCATTCGGCAGAACCGCCAGCAGAACAATCAGCAGAACCGCGTCATCGGCGAGACGGCCAATCCGAACTACCACCGAAACAACAATGGCCAGCAGCACCAGGGCTTTCGCTCGTACAACGCCAACCGCTTTGTCCCTCGCAACCAGCAGGGTGGCGGTGGCGGCTTTGTGCCGGGCGGATTCCGCCGTGGAGGCTACAACAACGGCCCCGGCGGCATGGGCAATCGCAACTTCATCCCTCGAGGCCCAATGACGCACACGGTGCCCAAGTTTCCGCCACTCCCTGACACGGACTTTGACTTTGAAAAGTCGGCCGCTGACTTTAAGATTCTCGAGGAGAAGCTGTGCGCGCTGAAGTTGAATGGCGCCCTGCCGAGTAGCTCTGAGGGCGGCGATGCGCCCTTTGAGCTGCCGGAAGTTCCTGGCATTCCTGCATCGGCCCTCACCGTTGCCGCCCTCGAGGAGGAGGACATCTCCAAGGAGCCCTGCTACAACAAGACCAAGTCCTTCTTTGACTCTATCTCCTGCGAGGCCCTTGAGCGCGAGAAGGGGTAAGTTGTCTGCTGTCTGTTTTGTGTTGAGGTAACAAATACTAATGAAAATCCCCCTTTAGAACCAACCAACGCGTGGACTGGAAAGCGGAGCGCAAGCAGAATCGCGAAACTTTTGGCATTGTCGCCGCCCGCCGGCCCACCTTTTACCGCAACAATCGAGGTGGCCTAGGCGGGGGCTACCACCACCACGGTGGCCGTGGCGGCTACCACCAACAGCGTGGACACTTTCAGAACCGCACCGGCGGCCCGATGAACCGCGTACCGCGTACGCCCAACACCAATGGCAACCCTACCGCCAACAGTACCGTGACTAGCACTACACCCACCAGCCGAAGCAGCACTGGGGGCGGACAGCCGAAGACTACTCCGAATGGCGTGGCCACCACGTCGCCCGCAGCACCTGTCGCTGCGAAGAACTAGAACACTGGCTTCTAGTTTGCCTCTTCTTTTCTCCTCCTCCTCCTACTTCTGACTGCTGCTTCTGACCACATCCTCAGACTGTCTTTGTTTCTCTCTCTCTCTCACCCATACACTGGTGGTGGTAATGGTGATGATGATGATGAATCGTGGTGGTGGCGATCATTCTCTCCTTACGTTCTGATTTGAGATTACTGTCTCCTCCTTCTCCTCTTCAACCACAACAACACCAACATTTCTTTAATTCTCTGTCTCCTCTTACTCCTCTCCTTCTACACATTATTTTTCTCCAATTGTCTCGTCTCCTTCTCCTACACATTATTCTCTTCAATCCTCCTCGATTACACTTGAATATCACCTGATTTCCTTTTTTTATTATTTAGCCACTATTATTATTCTTATTACTGAGAATGTGAGACACCTTCCTCTCCTCCACACTCATTCAGCTTGCTAAATCACAAAATCACAAACACTCTAAACGCGGCGTTCACAAAAATAAACAAAAATTCTCTGTCTAAGTCCTATTCTATCCGTGGTACACTTTTCTCAGCGGTTGGGCGCCCTCCAATTCTGCCGCCTCCTGCCTGAGAGTGGTCACCAGATTGGCGTGCACCATCTTCAGCTGACGGCTCTCCATGGTGGTCAGTGCGGCGACGGCCAGTGCGTTCAGCACCACATTGAGAAGGAGCCCCTTTCGGTTTTTGAGCAGCGCCGGGCGGAGGATGGTGTCGAGGATGTAGCGGCGACTGGAGGCAGACTGAACCAGGTCATCGGGCAGGGGGAAGGTGTTCAGACGAGAGGCAAAGTAGACGGCGCTGACGGAGGTGAAGATGAGCGGGTACCAGAAGGAGGTGATCAGGTGGGCGGCGGTCGATTCGAGCACTGCCTGCGAGTGGTGCTCATCGCCAATGTCGCAGGTGATGGGCGAGAGGGCGGTCTGGGTGTGGAAGAAGGCGCCGAAGAGTGTCTAAGGAGGGGGTGAAGGAATTAGTGATAGTTGGGCTCGTTATCGAATCACCTACCGAGCCGACGATGCTGGGCATGAGAACGTTGAGGGCGCCAAAGCCGGAGTCGGTCAGTTTGACTGCTCGTCGAAAGACGCCACCAACGTAGAAGCAGCTCACCGTGTTCAGCACCGCCAGTACTTTGTTGTTGAACTCCACCGCCCACACCTCCTTCCAGTCGTACGGCTCAATGGCCTTCCAGATCTTCTTCTGAACGACGTGAAATTGGTCGCTCCGTCTCGGCCACAGTTCCCTCAGCCGACTTGCGACGAAGGCGTTGCTCTCACCAAATATTGTCGAGCCTGTCCTTGGAACTCGAGGTTCAGACGCAAAGATGCTCTCTGCCTCCCTCTCTCGAAAAGAGGCCGTCGGATCGGGCGCCATAACTTTGGTGATCTCTTGAAGCCGATCCGCTTCAGCTGTGTGTTTTTGTGGACATCACATTTGAATCACGTGATTCAGAGGGCGCAAAATAGCAGCCGGTAGGCAGGCGTTTTCAGTGGATTTAGCGGCCAAATCAGACGAAAACAACAACTTTGTTCCGACGAGTTGGCACCGCGCTTTCTGGCCTTCATCCTTCCGTCTTTCTATCCATCGATCCAGTTTTGTACCAATCTTGACTTTCAATACTCAAGCTGAAATACTGAAGCTTTGCAGTTTATCTATCTATCTGCTAAATAACAAATACCAACTCAACGATGCCGGTATGCACTCTTTGACAACCGGTGTTTGTTTTGACCAATTCTAGATTCTGATTCTGTTTTTTCATTTCAGCCCAAACAAGCAACCAAAGGCCAGAAACAGATTTACGCTGATAATCAAGAGACGATTCTCTACCATACTTATGCGGCGGTGGCTTTTAGCGTAAGATTATTTGTGTAGATCACATTTAATTTTATAATTGTAACTTATCTTTCAGGCATGGTACCTTTTATCTTTTCTTTTAAGCAGCCTTTTAGGCCTCACCGATGAGACCATATTTGCTCTAAAGTACGTCGTGTTCATCATCGTTTCCTTCGGTATCTCTTTTGGCTGTCTGTATATCTTCAAGTACATGGCCGTCGCCAAGTTTAGCGGCAATACCGTCGTCGATGGCGGCCTCGATCTCAGCATTTCTGGTGGAGTAGCCGAGTAAGTGAAAGTGTAGTTTGTTATTACGTGAGGCCACACTAACTTGCGTCAATTTTTGCAGTTACGTGAGAGACGTCATTTACATCAACTTTATTGTTCAACTGCTTTCCGCTTTCTCGAACTGGTTCTGGGCACTTTACGCTGTAGTACCTATTTATGCAACTTACAAAGTCACCACTAGCTTCATTCTTCCGTGGATCTTTGCACCGGCGCCTGAAGTGGATGAAGAGCAGGAGGAAAAGAAACAGCGCAAGATGGATCGCAAAATGCGCCGATCAGCAATGTAGAGACTGTAACTTAAGGTATAGTCTTTGTGTTCAGCATTTTTACCTGTTTTCTTTGTTTTTTACAAGGTAGCTTGCTTTTGCTTGCTACCTAACAATTTCCTTTCCATGCGCTTAAAAAGTTTGGTCGTTGTGTGTACAGTCAAGACATAATCGGTCAACTTTACAATATTAAACTCATCTAAATCACTTCTTTTAATTAGCTAGAGAACTTGGCTCAGCAAAGCAACTCCAGATTGGCACGATGCAAAAAATCGATTCCATGTAGTCATGTGCCTTTAAATGATTTATGAACTTTTTGTTTACTACTACAACACTTCCTTTTGCCTTTTGGTCATTGAGTTGGAGGTCAAGCTTCAATGCTGCTGCTGCTGGTTGTGATAATACACTGTAAAGTTTTTGAAATTGCAAGGGTGACGCTAATGCGGCTCTGCTTTTGGGGGCGATTAATTAGCGGCCAGTGCTTCTACACTTTGGCACTTTGGCACTTTTCAAACATAATTCGACCGGCTTTTCAGCGAGCATCATCATCAACAGCAGCGGCAGAGTTAGCAGAGAAAACTTTCTTTTGGCGCTCTCTTTGTGCCAACGTGTGTGTTGCCTCTGTTAATGAAACGACGATCACCGAAATTGAGTTTTGTACTGCCCAGATGCTGTGATTAATTAATTCAAGCTCTGAGACTGCTTTCAATTCAATCGCCCAGCTGAAACTGTGAAAGTGTGACCGAGATATTCGGTTTTTTGCTGCTGTCGGTTGGCCTGTTTGGGATTTCGAGATGAAGAACACATACTCAACTCACATACACTGAATTACTAAGGAGGACTGTGAAGGTGCAGCCTCAACTTGTCCCAGAGGACATGACTTTTCTTCCTCCGCGACGATTGGTCAGCAGGGCCACCAAGCAATCAATCTTCTTGGTAAACACTTTTTGAAAGTAATGTCTGCAGATGCTGAAGAGTGAAGAGGTGGGGTGACCTAATTTGCCTAGTGATTACGAGCATCAGTGAGCACTTTGCACATGCTGGTGACATTTTCTTCTTGTCACTGTTTCATAAGAATATCTCAAGACTTCTTTTGTTGCGATTCCATTCTCGAGGTGGCGCTCCACCGTGAGAGTTCAAATTTGGGGCAGCCATTCTGGCGCCTCTTTTTGCTTTCTGGTACGTTGTGTTTGCTCTCCCAAACATCCCCATTAGCTGGAGCACCATTTCTCTACCATTAACCATCAAGCAGAGAAAGAGAGTCAGTCAATCAGTTAATTAGTTCGCCGAAGTGATTGAGTGAGTGAGCTAGTAGTGGATAGCAAAAAATTTATTTGCATTTATCTGTCCTTTTGGCTCCTACTACTGTGCAATAGGATTCGGTTCAAGCAGGAGAGAAGGGGCAAAGTTTATTATTACCATTAAACTCTAATTATGATTTACAAATGATTTCCGCTGGTTTTTTCTGCTTTGACTTTCTGCTTTTTGCTTCCTTCCTTCGAATAGGCAATTAATTTGAAAGGTCCGGGCTA